GGGCCCCGCCCTTAAGAGGATGGTCCCCTGAAGAGCATAGAGCCACCCCAACCGATCTCTCCTCCAGAAAGCCCCACGTCCACCTCCCACGGCCCCCCGGGAGGCCTGAACCCCCCTAGAGGATCCCAGGGATCAGATGAAATTTCTGGATTCTGGCGCCCAGACCGTGACCTTGGACCTCCAGCCCCGCGTGGGCTGCTGGGACAGCGGCCTGACAGACCAAGGGGGGCCGATCCAGCGCCACCCGCCTTTATTCACTGGTCCTTGGGCTTCAGTCACAGACACTTGGCTTTTGGAGAGCACAGGAAGAAAGGGGGGCCCTGGTGACCGTCCCAGCACACAGCACAGGGCCAAGGCCAGCCTCATACCCCTGCCCCAGGGGGCTGCTGTGGCCACAGGGCCACAGACAACAAGGGGCTAGGCCTGGTTGCCCAGGACCCCTTTTGAGCGGGTGCTCGCAACATCCCAGGCCCAGAGGGCTGGTGCCAACCCGAAGCTGGTGCAGGGAAGGACAGGGCCAGTCTGGACAGTGGGGTGAAGAATTAGATGCTCCCCAACGTGTCCAGGCCAGAGAAGCAGCAGGAGTTGGTAGGGAATACAACAGGCATGGAAGGGCCACCCTTGTCCTGCCTCCTGGCCACTTCAGGGCCAAGGCCAGCCCAGTACCACCAGCCTGGGAGACGGCACAGGCCCCCCAGGTCTCCCTCGTGACCTTGGAAGTAGCCGGGGGGCAGGGGGTGGGGGCAATGGAAGGTGACGGGAGGTGGAGGGGAGTCAGAGCCGAGGCCCTGGGGTGGGGGCAGGCAGCTCCGAGGAGACAACTACAGGGAGAGCGGGGGCTGGCAGGGCCCAGACCCGCCCAGGGGCAGGGGCAGCTCAAGACCCCCTAGGAGGAAAGGAGGGGGCTCAGGAAGGAAGGGCAGGCCTTGGCCACCAATCATGCCCCTCCCGGTCCTGGGGTTGACAGCCCCCTGGGCACACAGCCCCTCCCCCTCCCAGGAACTGAGCCCACGGGAGACCAACATCGGGTGGCACCCGGGTCTCCCAGAGGCAGGGGGGTGGGGGGGTGGGGAGGGGACACCGGCTTCAGGACTTCTTGGCGTCAGGCGTGCTCCGGCGCTTCAGGTCACCCAGGTCGATGGGCTTGAAGGCTGTCAGGGGACGGGGCGGTCAACGGTGGCACAGACGGAGACCGGGCCCGGGCCCCCCATCCCGTGCCTGCCTCTGGAAGCCCTGGGCCCGGACCCGTGCGGCCAAACCGCATCGCGAGTGGGCAGCCTTCTTGCCCTCCGCCCTCCACCCTCCGCGGCGCGGGGCCCCTGGCCAGGCCCCTCCCTCCCCGGTCGTCTTCCCCACTCACTCTTCAGACTGGGGTTGGGGACCTTCTCCACGTACTCCTCCACCAGGCCCCGCTCGCTGCCCGACATCTGGCTCCGCAGGTCTCGCTCCACTCCCTGCCAGGCTGCGGAGAGCAGGGAGGCCGTCAGATCCCCCAGCGCGGCCAGGCGGTGGCAGGCGGAGCCCACGCGCTCAGCGCCCTCGCCCCTTCCCAGCCCTCAGAGCTCCGCGCCTCCGCGTCTGTAGGGGGCTGCGGTCACAGAGACACGCGACACGCGGGACCCGGCAGCTCTCCTCCAGGAGGCTCTGGGCCTCTCCCGCCTCCTGGCACAGTCATCACGCACACGCTCATATGCCCCGGCCGCACTTCTGGACACCCCTGGGTCCTCCTGGGGGGCACCGTCTGCCCGTCTTCCACAACGGTCCCCTGTCCTCACGTAAACCTGGCCCGCTCCAAATGGGGCCTGTCCTAGGAGCTGCCCGCCTCCCACTACAAGGACCGGGTCTCCTCAGCAGACGAGTCCCCGGTGACCCCAGCTGCCGGGCCCCTGAAGGCCAGGGGAGAGCCCGTATCCCGGAATGGCAAGAGGGGGGTTCTGGGGAGTTCCTGGCTGGCGGTGCCCCGCGTACCTTCGTAAATGAAGCGCACATTCTCCTCGTGGGCAGGGGTGAAGATCTCGCTGCTGCTGGGGGGAGAGCGGGGGCTACTGTTCCTCTTGCCGTTGTAGACGACTCTGGAGACGGGGGAACTGGGGGGGGCCCAGCACGTGAGGAAGGGCTGGGGGCAGAGTGGGGCCCACCCCCGGACCCCTGGGCGAGGCCGCTCCACAACCCGAGACCCACCTGGTCATCGCGGGGGTGTCTGGTCCTCACGCTCCGCTGCCGGGTCCCCTCGGCCTCTAGAAGGGAAGCCCAGACCCCAGAGGTGGGACAGAGTTGCGCCTCCTCCCTCAAGCTGCCCACCGGGGTCCCTCAAGGCTGGGGCGCAGCCCCAGTGTGGGCACAGTCAAGCACGTGGAGGCTGGGGGCCAGCAGCCGGCACCTGCGCTCAGAGCAGCCTCGGTTCTGGGCAGATCCCGGTGCCTGGGCCCCCGCTACCCAGGGAGCCCCTTCCCCTGCAGTCAGGCAG